TATATATATACAATCGGTCTTTCTGCCCTCTACTTTATAATTATTTAAATTCTCGCCTTTAACCACACAACAATTAAAGACAAATACACATACCTGAAGCAGATTTGGTTTGTATTTGTTATGTTCGTTTATTTATAAAATCGCCCAGAAAAAGTTAAAATAGAGAAGTGGTAGAGACACGACATGCAAATGAAAAATATTCTATTCAATTAATATGAGAATTTTGTTTATTGAAATTACCATTAATAAAGATACGAGTATATTGAAACAAAAATTAAAGTTCCTTGATTTACAGTTATTACTTTCGCAAATTATATGTACTTATTATATACAGCTAATAATTCTATTATTTCGCATAAATTCTATAAAAAAGGAACCAACGGAACCCAACGTATTTTCTCAAGAATAAAGCTTGAAATTTTGCAAAAAAATCAACGAAATTAATTTTTCAATAACCGTTTTCAAATATGTATACAGGAAATGTTGTGCAGCAAAATATGGACACCTACATAAAAATCTTAAATAAAGCTTTATGGAGATTGGTGACGGTTATAATAAAAACATATTTAGCAAATCTGTAAATTTCTTCGTTCAGTTTTAGGGGGCCTTAAGTGAATGTTTTTCGGTATAGAAAGTTAAGTGTAGCAATTATCAACCTGAAAAAGTTTATTGGTGGCAATTTGACTGTTTTAATTTGTATCAAGTTTTTTCCAAACCAATTACCTTTAATCGTCGCTTTTTTATCGGCGATAAAAACCGCTCGACATAATGGGCATTCTAACGAGTAGGTACTCAACGAATTCAGTGCCTTAAATGTAAATCCTTCGTGCCATTTTGCGAATACCTTTAATTAAAAATCAAGAATGTGTCTTGAAACGTTAATCGAAATTTGTGTAAACCAACCAGGGAGGTTTTAAATTTACATACCCAGCCTGCGTCTTGTAACGTGGACTACAAATGGCTTTTTACTGCTTCAAAAGGTCGGCTATTAGAACCTGGACTTGCACGAAGAAAAAATAATTGCTTTACGATTTTTTACTAGTCGGCACTTTTACGAAGAGTTTTTTTGTTTAACTGGCAATAACTAATATCGTGACTTTTTCAAATCAATTACCTGGATGAAGATTTCAAATCGTTTTTGTAAACGTATTTCTTTATTTCAAATGAAATAGCCGTAGATAGAACACATATTTAAAACTTATTTAGGGACATTAATTAAGGTACATTTCATAGAGCCAAATAAAGTATTTATGCACAAGAATCATTTATAATTTGTTTTGCGCAGTTACTGAAAGAAAAACGAAAAAAAATTGGTTTTGAGTTTGCTAAACTAGCATTTTCTGTGCTTCCATTTCAGTGGTTTTTCAAAATTTTGAAACAAAAGACCTTTTAAAATATAAGGGCATATAAAAATTATTATAACACTTTGATAAACTGGGTACTTATAGACGGTATCTGCTTTCAGACGTCTATGAAATTTCATCTTTAAATGTATTGTATTTTAGGTATAAGCATCGGTATCCTAACATGATAAACTTGGAGGATTTTTCACCGGTAGACTCATGCAATAGCTGTACGAAAAGAAACTACTTGCAACAGACATGGCAAAGACGTAGATACGAAGTGGTGACATATAATAAGTGCTTTTACAGCAACTTAAATTCCCAGTTTATAGTTCCTTTAGATGTAGATGAAATTATTGTGCCGAAATCCGTTAGAACGTGGCAAGATCTGGTACAAAACAGAGGTAATTACTCGTCGCTAATTATACAAAACGTCTATTTCTTCGCAAGAAGTAAGAACCGTTTTAATCGCCCCTTTTTCCTTAACGAAAATAGACGGAATAAAGTACCGAACCAAAAAGGAGAAAACGGCAAAAGTTTTATATCGACAAAAAATACGTTAACTGTATTTAACCATTATGCGTTGCAGCTATTAAGACCGGGTGTAATCAAAGACTACTACTTTATGCAATTTACGGACGCGCAATTAAATCATTACAAAGCGTCATGTAATTCAGAGATATTTCCTGAATGTGCCAAGTATTTGTCTAGTCCTACTATCATTGATGATATAATTTCAAGGTATAAAAACGAATTTTACCTACGATATCACAAGGTGTTAAATAGGATGAAGAATGATGGAATAAACATTTTTTAAACTATTTGTGTATTTGTTTTATTATCAAATTGAAGGCATTTCACAGGGTGGACATTTTTCAATCTAGGACACTTAGAGTGAATGTTCGTTTGTTGGCTAAATTGCCGCTTTTTCAAAAATACCCTAAGAGACTGCTTCAATAACGAATTCAAGGGGCTTCATCAGAACAAGATCAAGAAATGGGTGAATAATATGAACGGAAACGCTCAGACAAAAATCCAAGCTTTTTGCTAGAGTTCAGCACTTTATAGACTCTCAGGACACGTTCTAAGAAAATCAGTCGCTTTATCCGCAAGTTTACTTCACTTATAAACTGAAGCCTTCTTTATACTCAGATCAAACTTGAAGCCTCTTAATGTGAAACTCGCTCTCTTTGGGATTTGGTAATATTTTAACCGTTCTTTTACAATGAAGCTTTTATATTCAATCCACTTTAAATTCTTGCCAAAATTCAACCTGAAGGGCGATTCTGGTGAAAGTGCTCAACTTAATCTTTTTTTCTTAACGCTCCGCCCAATTTCTAAGTTTGCTGTTCTACTGGCTTGAAAGTGGAACGCTGTGAAAACATTTTGAAAACCCGATTTTTTTTAAATCAAGCGCTTGACCCACTTGGTCTTCTCAAGTTGCTCCTCTTATAAACTGAAGCATGTTTTATACATGGGGCAAAGTTGGAGCTTTTAGCCGCTCAGCTTTAGAATTATATATTTTTTCTGCTTTTGCACATTTAAGGGTTTATGTTCATGTTCAAACAATTTACAGTTTAGTCAAAAAATAAGGAGAGGTACCAATTTATCGGAACATCTACAGATTTAGACAGATGTTCTTGTAATTCTCGAAAAAAAAACTGAAGCTGCCTGCTGCTCTTCGTGAGGAGTTTAGCAGTTTAGAAGCTCTCATAACATTTTGTATAGTTGCTTTCGTCCGAACTTTAAAAAACCATTCAACAATTCAGTTACTAAAGCGTAATTGCTTTAACTTACTTTAATTTACTTAATTTATAAGCTGAAATTATTTTTACAATATCAGAAGCTTAGGCAATTTTATTGCTCAGCTCTGCGTTATGGATTTCTCTAACTACTGCACGTGGGAGATTTAACGTTCCTTGCACATAAAACTTTGTCAAAAATGCAACCTTTTTATCGATTTTACTAAAATTTCTATAAATTTATAGATTCAGCCTTCGTAACATTCACGCCAAAGCTAAAGTGTCCTGCTCTTCTAGTTTAAAACTTTAGAAACTACCTTTGCATCCAATCGCGGATTATCCTGAAATTCCACTAGTTTATAAAGTGAATTTTTCCGATCATTTACACCAACATTTAAACTTCCTGCTACCTCGGTTAGGAGTTCACAGCTTTAGAACTTCTATTGGCACTCTGAAATTTTGCTATTAACACGCTTTGAAAAAAACATTGAATGCAAAATTGGTTGCTAAACTTAAATATTTTCAAGTTATCCTTTTAATAAACTGAAACCCTCTCTATACGTCTACCAAAATTGAAGCAAGCGTTTCATCGTTCAGCTTTGAGAGCAGTGAATTTTTTAAACTGCTGTTGGCCATTGGAGTGTTTGTGTTTAATGGCCATTAAACTTTACTAAATATTTAACCCAACAGATGATTTTCCTGAAATATTACCAGTCTACAAAAACATGTTTTCTGAACACTCGAATAAATTCACTCAAAGTTCAACATATTTATATCATTGAGTTGCCACAAACACTCATGCGAAAACTAAACTCTCCTGATCTCATCGATTGAGAAATTTGCATTGAAGCTCTTTTTGCACTTCAAAAATTCGCAATTGTCTAAACACCGTGCTTTTCTGCCCAAGTAAAGCTATTTTTTGTTTCTTGTAAATTTCTCGCATCTGTGACAGTTTTCGAGTAGGTATATAGAACGAACGAAACAAATTTTTGCAACTCTCCTAAATATTAAATCTTTATTAATATCTAAATTTTAAAGTATTTCGTAAGTCAGTCACTGCTATTCGTTCTTTTTGACCATTTTGTTAAATGCCTTTTATCTTTTTAATTCCTAATAACTTTTTTTATGGCTGAATTTGAAAGTTTTTCAACTTAAAAAAAAAGCTGAAGCAGAGAGCATGAGAAGAGGAGGTGGAGCTTTTGAGATAACCAGACATATTCCATATGTATAAAGTAAAAAACATTTTTCAACAATTTATGAAATTTATTTATCACGAACAAAACACAAAAGCCGTCGTTGAAATGCTTTTCAACGACGGCCTAAATGCCCAAAAAAACTACCAATGTCTGATAATAATTGTTAAAAATTTAAAACAATTTTATACTTGGGAATTAACAAAATATTTTTTTGTATCTGTTGAATAATGCGGTACTTACAAATTGTCTCTTAACTAAACGATAGTCAAATTTTAAGTGGTTAAAAGGCCAGAACTTGAAGCTTGGGGGCCAAAGCTGTCGAAGCTAAAATTTATAAAAATAATACAAATCGATAACATTTTAAAAAATAACATAAAATCTGCATAAATAGTTTCACTCAAAACCAGTGTAGCAGATTGTATTTTGTCTGTTAATTGCTTACAACAAAATTTTGGAGGCATAAAAACATGATACTTTACATACTCAGCATCATTTCTTGTGCCTAATCCTTGATACCCTGGATAATATCCAAATTTGCCGAAAATAGCTCAAAACCACAAGATTTATAAAAAAGAAACAAAACAGCCCTAAGCTTCATAGGACGGTTTCCTTAAAGAACACACATCTCCACACACACACATTTCCACATAAGAACATGATATTATGAAACTGTGAAGAATTTAATAATTACGGAAACTTTGTTTCACAGTGCTCCTATTTGCATGTCGGAGATAACTAAAGATATAAAAGTAAATAAAGCTTCTAATTTGAAATGAATGAAAACCTATTCAATGTAAATTGAATAGGTTTTAAAATTATTTAAAGTTTATATTGCGGTCAACAAATTAAAAGTACTCAACTGAAAATTTACTAAAACCTCCGAACTTACCATATCAGACAAACATTATTTAGTTTTTCCCCATATGGTGAACATAATTTCGGTGAACTTCAAAGGGCACAACAAGATGGGCAAGGTAGTTACTAAACTCATAAAAAAATTAGTGAGCATTGAAGCTTATTACTTATCAAATCCCATTTATTAGATCGCACATTTTCACAGTACGTTCAACAGTAAAATATACAAGTTCGGAAGGTAACAATTTAAGAAAAATACACGTAAAAGCACACATTGCTAATGTTTTTAAACAACTGATATAATATTATTCCTCTATAATCTTTAGGTCTTCAAAGTCATCAGAGAAAAACTTAAATTAATTAAAAAAAAACTTAAATTAACAGAAAAATACTCTTGTAATCAGCACAGCAATAGACAAACTCTATGAAATAATGTTTAAAGCTGTATCGTAGTATTTCGGTTCTCCCAGCTCATTTGTAGTCGTTCCTCTGATGCATAAATCCAGTTGCTTCAGTTCGAATTCCCCGAAATAAAAATTTCCATGCTCCTCCAAAAGTTCCCTTGCATCAAATGGCATGCTTCGCCCATTGCCCTTTCGAAAACTCGCATTCATTACAGTCATATGTAGTTTTACTCTATCGGCCTCTTTTTTGGCCAATCCGGCTCGAAGAAAATAACTCAGAATTCCATCGCACATTTTCTGAAGCTTGCCATTGAGTTCCGGGTCCGCCATTTGAACCTTTGCATACAACACGTAAACGTTTGAAGGATCGTCGTTCATTATTTCCAAGCCCTGGACTCTAACTTTGTATTTTTTATTTTTTGCAAATATTGCTGTGATGTGTTCTTCGTAGCAGGCCTGTAGGCATTTTTTGGCATTTTCAATTTCTTCATCGTCAAGTAAAATTAGCACTGCAACAGTTAGATGGACTTTTACAGCCTTTTGAAATAACGAATCCGTCACTCCTTTTGAAGGATTTTGTAATACCGCATGGTGGAATTTTTCCAAGTTTTGCCGTATAATAGTTGAATCGATAGGAATACTTATAAAATGAGTAGGTGGCATTCTGTCTTTTCTCTGAGCAATGGTCATAGCTATTTGGGTTCTTGCTGAGGCGACTTGGCGCTCAGTTTCCCCCAGAATTACTACATCGCCTCTTTCGTTGATGCGAGGGATTTTTATCGTCGTATTGGTACTTCTTTGAAACGCTTTCAGTTTGCTTCCTTTCGCTCCAATGAGAAAAGAGTGAAAACTCGATGGAACATAGAACGATGTTTGAAACTTTCCACTTTTGGTTAAACTGATGTCGTAATTTTCCTCCATATCTGCACAATCTATGATTTCATCATCGTTGTCCAAATATGGTTTCAAATGAGGTCTCGCATCAACGTCCAACTCAGAAGTTTGCGATACAATGGAAGCTTGGTAATATATTCGGTTATCAAAATTTATCGGTGTGACATTTAGGGGTATTGGTCCTTTGGTGGTAAAAAAATCGGGAAAGTGGTTTCCACGTCTTGGCGATGTCATTCTGAAGCAATAAGATATATTTGTAATAAAATTTGCAATTCAAATTTTAAACCTGTTTTTAAATGGCAACTCTCATGATTAAAAATAATTCAAATTCTATATTATAAAGTTTTGTGTGTCTTTGTAACTGTTTTAAAAGCAGCAATTTTAAATAAACTTGAATATTCAAAACCTAAAATATTCGAGACAATATACTTAAATTAGCAACAGACAAAATTAGTCAGTGGCAGGGTTAGTTTCATAGAGGAAAGCGGTGAAAACGTAGGATTTGATAACAGACAAAGCATTTAAAAAACTTTTCAATGAAAAGGACTTTGAATACTCCCAAAAAATGGAAACAAAATGACAATAAAGTAATAATTTAAACTGATAATTCGAATATTATCAACTTTTCTTCCCACGGGGAACCACCCCGAAAAATCGGGAAAATTGGACGGTGTGCCGAAGTCAATGAGGGAAAGTAATCTAAAATACTTTCAAGATGGCTACATTTCCGGTTATACCGGAAGTATGTATCAACTTGCCAATTTTAAATGGAACACCCTATATATTGTTGAGGCGGATGCATTTTTTTACAAACTTCTTTTTGGGTATTTCGCCTCAAAAATGTTTGTCTTTAAAAAAGACAGAATTTTCTCACGTCTTTTATTACAGATTGATAA